CATTAATAAACCAACAGTGCCCCAAATAAACGAGAATCCTACCATAGAATTGGAAGAATAAAAGCTTTTGCATTTACCTTTATGTTTTTGGGGGTGGGTGGTGGGTGGGTAGATATATAAACATGAAAGGCTTAGTGTCACAATTCTGCCAAATCGTTATGTAACAGATAATATAGGGCAGATGATGTCCCTAATTCCTGTTCTGCATAAAGACTTAAGAAAAGTTGAATATTTTGCAACATTAATTGCAAATTGTGAAATATGGGTAAGTTACAGCCAGTACATTCATCATGGGTAAATTCAATCTACATAAATCAAAATGAAAAAGCAAATAAAACAATGCCCGTGCTATCAAAAGAGATGCTGAACTCTCCTAAGCCGCATTTGACTGGGCACATATGAAAAAGCTAGGGATTCCTGATATATTTTATATGTAATCTCACAGTTGCCAAATAACAGCTACTTCAAGCAGATATTAAATCAGAGCTAGTCATATTATGTTTTGAGCATGCAAAGGAATGTAGTTCTTTCTTTAAAAGAATACAACAAACATAAGACTGATATGTGAATTCAAACTGAAATCATACTTCACAGAGCAAAAAGGTGCAATCTTTTGCATATTTAAAAAAAGTTCAGAAATGAGCCAATCAACCAATCTATGTTTACAGCCAATCTAAAAATTCTGAATCATGTTTTTAAAGAGACAATTGTGATTTAACTAATAGCTTCATGCAAACATGATAGCAACAGTCTCCAAATTAGGAATCTACCTAGAGTTCAGGAGATGTTGTCTTTAAGTCTTACTAATGGATGCTATCTTTTTAAAAAAAATTCTGTCCACATTTTTTTTTAGCCAAGCAAGCTAACAAATTAATAGAAGTGTGTTCAGGAAGGGGTTTTTATCCACTTTCTTTAAGAGTGAAGAGCAGAATCTCTGCTTATCATGATCTCTCTGTCTCTGAATTTCTATACCACCTTGATGATGCAAGGAGGCTGATATTTATCCCCTGGAAGACCTCCCCCAATTTCTACAAAATTGCCTCTAGCAGTACTTACAGCATTTCAATAGTTCATTTCTAGTCTAAATTAGATGTATTTTCAACAAAGTAGGCTGGCATCTTCTAAAAATTCAGGCCACTTAACAGGTAACATTCATTAAGCCAACTCAAAAGGTTTACAGGTCAGCTATAGCCAGCAAAAGGAATGGAAGTATCATGTATGCATTAAAAATGGTCCTGCATTCAAAGAATCACTAGACTGGACCAAATTTTTTATAATTCAGGAAAAACATACATATTTTATTTCAGGAGATGAAAAAAACAACAAGATAAATAGAAAAGAAAGAACAGAAAGCTGTAAAAGTATTTCCATGACATACAGCTACTTGAAAATCTTTATTGAAAACATCTGCAATTATTGAGTCACTTACTGAAAGTGGTCATCCAAAATCAACCATATCTATAGGGTATTTTAAAGGAATTGGGAGCTAATCTTGGGGAAAATATGAAAGAGATTATAAGGAGGGAGTTAGACAAGATAGTACACAGTCCTGAGAGAGAAGGAAGCACAAGAAACTCAAAATAACCCTCTTGTGATTTTGTTTAGCATAAGATGGGACAGAGAGAAACTTTGACCGGCTTTCAAAATCCTGTCATATCCTACCAAAACAAAGTAGCATTCCTGGAAGCCTTGTGTTGCCTGTTTCTTGACCTGGTCTACCTTAAAAGGCTGATAGCAATCTTGAAAGCCTGCCCAAGTTTCTCTGTTTCATCTGATACTAAACAAAAACAGGGCAGGATATTTCTTTCTCATGCTTCCTTCTATCTCTGCGCTATGTACTATCTTGTACTATTCTGCACGATGCACTACTGTATGTACTATCTTGTCCAACTCCCTCCTTAACATCTTTTTCATAGCTTCCCCAAGATCAGCTCTAAATTCCTGTATAAGTATTCATAAGGCTATTATTGGCAACACTCATAAGACAATTTGGTTTATCCCAAATGACAAAGCATTTTGTCTTACCGTTTTTAAGAGCCGGAATCCATAGGTGAATATGTAAAGATAAAATGTAAACCTCCACCTGCAAATAATATAAAATAGATAAACTTAATAACCTTGTGGTAAGCAAACTTGAGAATTCAAATTACAGAACAATATAGAAATGTCCACAATAATTTATTCCAAAACAATAATTTATTTCAAAATATATGAAACAATATACCATCTGCAATTGGATTGTTAGAAGTGCATATCAATCAGGATTAACCAGGTTTATTTGGATCCAAACTAAAATCAGGGTACAGGATTTCATTCTCCCATAAAGCACTGTTTCATGATCAAAATAAAAAGCATATCAGCGAGTTAAATGCAGTTAAACAAATTCAACCCAAGTTTGTGTTTCCTGTTAACAAAGTGACATAAAACAACCTATCTTAATACAGTATGGTGTTTGTTAGAAGCCTTGGACTTCAGCTCCCATGATTTATCAATTACCATGGTCATAGGTCACAAAAATGGCAGAAGGGAATATGCCCCAGAAGCAAATAACTGGCAACATGCCTCATGTACTCATATCTCCCTTCTCACTGGCTAAATTGCACATATTGTTCTGAGGGAGGACAAAGTTTTATGGCAACTGAAAAACTAAGATTTCCTCTAAATCAGAAGAATTTCTGGAACCAAGGTTCCATGTACACAAAGCAGGAGAGGGCAAGAGAAGCCATAGACTGTTTTTTTTCACCCACAAATACATTCACAACATCAACAGATGTAGTTTTCACAGAAATCATGGGTCATCTCATTATTGGTGCTATCCACAAGCAGAGTCTCCCTAGATGATCTTGAAGCATCAATCCAGTGGTCCTGGGAAATAGGCCAGTATTAACTAACCCTGCACAATACTAGAGGGAGACGGGAGGGGAGAGAGATATCAACAGTTCATAGGAAAAGCTGTCTTATTTTAGACAAAAGGAGAAAAGCGGGAGTGTTAATAAGCTAGCATTTAGATGAACTGGAAGAGGCAGCAGGAAGAAAGTTCATTCTAATTTAGTAGAAATAAAGTCTGGACTGCACCACGTGATCCTGAGCACACTAATTCAGCCCACTGAAGTGTGTAATTATCATAACTGCCTTGCATTTTAGTTGTGATACCGTCTTAGAGGCAAAAACAGAGGAAACTGCTTGTCATTCAAGGCATTGTTGTTTTTATCACTGATGTTAATACATTTGCGTCCACAATAAGATTTGAGACTGCAGTAGTCTTCTCAAAACAATGCAAGCATAATATTAAAGCAATTCCTTCACTTCGTTTGATGAATGCAAACCATATAGACTAAGATTCTTTGTTCTACATCAATGTATTGAATTCTCATTGTTATTGATTCCATCTTATCCTCTCTCTAGATTTTATTAGAAGATTTTACATACATAATAAGAAATACATTCAAAGAAAAAAAAATAGTAAAGGAAATGTGAAAAGGAAAAAAAGGAAAGAAAAGAACAGACAAAGGAAAAAGGAGATAGAAAAAAGAAAAAGAAAAGAAAAGAACAGAAAGCATGAATACATACATACATACATACATATTTATGGCTTCTGATCTTGTTCTCGGCAGTTATACATACAATTCTAATCAAATCTTTCTCTCTAAGATTACATCGTAATTCCCTATTCTTTCTAATCATCAAAACTATAACTCATAAAATCATTTTCTTTTTTACACAAAAAGTCCATAAGGGATTTTCAAGTCATTGACAAATGTCAATAATTACCTTTCTCTAATCAAAGAAGTCAGTTTGACCATCTCAGCAAGTTCTGTCAATTTCACCAACCATTCCTCCATGGTGGGTAATGCTGAATC